AAAATGTATGCTGTATTTGTTACATAACTCTCCCCGCAACACTGTGAAGATAACTGTGTTTTCATGCATACATTGACCTGTTATGGACACCCCTGTAACAGTCTCCACCTGTAAGGATATTCAAGCAAACTGTTTTAGTTTTGAGGTAATCCACAGGATTACTCATCAATGGTGTTTTTAAGAACTGGGTAAAAAAAAAATACTAGGGCTAGTAGCTACATACTTGATTCTGCTGAAAAACAAGGAAGTAAACTATGCACTTTCTTAAGGTGCCTGCCTGCTCGGCTTCCGTAACATTTATTATGTATTTTGTCATATCCAGTACTGCATTCCCAAAAAGCTATGCCAATATTCTATTTTACAAAATACAGAAGTGCTAAGCCATAAAGAACAATCCGATTCTACAAGCCATTGCACACTAGACAGATAAATACACACACACATATGCCATTTTTAAAAATTCTGGGCAACTTTCACTTTCTGAGTTATCTTTATTTTTAGCTGTTATGCCTCTGCATTCTGTAATGTAACTAATGCAGTTTCAGTACTTGTAAATGTTTTACAAATACACTGCCCTCTTAAAAAAAACACTGTTCATTGTTTTAGTAATACTAATTTTAATATATATTGTGTATTTTGGTAAGTATTCAAGGAGTAAAATATCTATTTGGAAGGAAAAGAGCATAGCTGTAATCATTAAATGAGTGACAAAATAAAATAATTTTTTCCTTAGCACTTTATCAACAATAGAAATAATATGCAAATACAACAGAAAATAGCAAGCTACTGAATCCTTGCTGAAATATTTCTTCTCTCGTTCTCTTTGCCTGATAGCAAGACGTGTGAAGCATTTAAAGTAAAAAGTCACATGACATAGTTCTTCTGAAAAATAATAGGATTACTTGGAAGACGGAAAGAATACAGAAAAAAAAAAATCAGCTGTTAAGTACCCTGTTTTCCAAACTGAGCAAGATGTGACTCAGCAGAGGACAAACTTATTCTAGATGCAATTCAACACAGCTAGAAATATCCATAGGTATTCCACAAGCCAGGGCAAAGACAGATCTGAAAATTAAGTTCATACACTGAAATTGAGAACTCCAGTAAAGATCTTTTGAATTTCCTGGACTGTGAGGTCCCCCCAACACTACCAGCTGCCTCACACATCTGAGTTTCCCATTTCTGTTTTTTGAATTAGTTGTCCATAGCTATGAAAATATGGGGTTTTAACCACATACTACATGGATATATATGTGATCACACTAAGCTACTAAGTAAGGAACACTGCTTTTTAATACCCAGCTTTTTCTGTGGTTGATGCTTCTCTATATAATGTGAAGATTTTTAGACCTTACATGTTTCTTTAAAAAAAAAAAAAAGCAAAACCTCTTCAAATTATTAATTGGAAAATCAAAAGCTCTTGCATTAAAATTATCCTCAAATGAGAGAAAATTTTCAAGACTCATTCTGCTTTTCAACTACTGCAGCTGTTGAAAACATGATTTAAGGAGGAAGGTACTGGTACAGCATCTGGCTGTGCATGTCTGTGCTGCCAGATAAAGTGCTTCAACTTCAAACTGCAAGCATGAACAGATATTTACTTACATGTATTTTATCTCACATACAGGCACCTTTCTTTGTACTGAAAATTTGCATACAAAGCAGAACTCCCAAGTCCCTCCAGACACTGCAAAACAACCTTGCCACATCACCGCCCCATAGAGCCTTCATCCATTCTGTATAGCTACCTGTGTTAGCTGCTTCAAGTATCTTCAATCCACTGTTGTGTATTTAACAATGACTTTTCAGAGAAACTCACCTCCTTTTTTCACCCTGCCCAAAAAGACGTGAAATAAACCAGTATTTGTGTGAGTCTCCCATGTGGGGTTTTTCACCATGGGCATCCACCTGGTTCTACCTCAGAGCAGCAAGGGAGACTTGGGCCCGCACCACACCACCGCCACAACAGGTTTTGAGGGGAAGCCGCTGGGATGTCAAAGGCTGAGGGGCACTGCAGTAATGCTAACCCTGTTCCTTACTCCCCACCCCACCACCTTTCATCCCTCTCCCTCTGCCCTGCGATGGGCTTTTCTCCGCTCTTGCTGTCTCATCCCCACGCAGTGCCCACCACGCACCACTGCCGCTGCTGCCTCGCACGGAGGGGACCCACCAGCGGTGGGGAGAGAGGGCACCTCGCACCCTGCCGCAGGCGGGAGGGAACACCGCTTCGCCCAAAACCCCTCACCCCCGCCGGCACCAGGCCCTCTGGCAGCTCCCAACCTCCCTCCGGCGCCCCCGCGCCACTGCCTAGCGAGAGAGGGAGACGGGGGGGGGGGGGGGGGGGGGTGAGGGGACGCGGCCGCGCCTCAGCAGCTCCCACCCCCGAGGAAAAGGCGGGAAACAGGGCGGACCGCACACCGGGGAGACGGCGCATGCGCAGTAGCACCCCCCATGGGTGGTGCCAGGCGCGGTACCTGCGCGTCGTGCTGATTCAGCATTAAACCCGTTTAAACCTCACCTACCTTTATCCATATATGTATATTTTTCTTTTTTTAATAGAAACGGCTTTAATTTCTCATTCAGGCAACAGAAAGCCTGCAAAATAGGTTGTCGTGGTGTATGTAGGCTAGGGCATGAGGCTGAGGGAGGATTTTTCTGTAAGTCAACGCAAACAGGCAATATTTCTGCAGTCTGATTGATTTTACAAACTATATGGTTTACATTTCAGATTTTTCTCCTGTTCTCACAGGATTTTCTGTCCTCAGCCAGTTAAGGTATTTTGCTCTTTATTTATGAAGACTAAATACAAAATCTAAATTAAAAAAAAAAAAAAAAACAAACTAGCAGTATTTCCATTTTCAATCTTCTCATTAACCTCAACCATTTGAGAAATTTTACTTAGTATTTCCTGGGCAGGTGGCTTAGTTGCCACCACAATACTGTTCACATATTATCTTGCTTCCCTTGCTTGCTTTTTTTCCAGGTACCGTGCTCACAAATTTTAGCAGCGATTTTCAATGGATGCTTCTCAGTAAGCGTATGCTACATTTTTGGCTATCGTTACTGAAGTTAAACAAAATGCCATGAACTTACCTGCAAAACTGCTTAAACAAAAATGAACTGCAGTGACATCAGAGCTACCTATGCAAACTATACAGAACTTCAGAAAAACTGCCTTAAAATTCCAACCGAGTTTTCTCCAACTATTTTGATTAGAATACCAAATGTTTAAAAAAAAAACAAAACAGATCCTAGTCAAACTTGAGTCTATCTAATAATAGTTTGAAGTGTAAGAAGCTATCAAAGCTTTCTTGTATTTCTTGAAATGTCTCATTTTCTGCTAGTCTGAAGTACTCTAGATTTAAACTACTTATTTATATTGTATGTTTCAGCATAATATATATTGCTAGTATATGAAATATAACCTTAATAATTAAAAGTTCTTGTATTTATACAATACTCAAAAGTTTGATTCTACTTTGAGAATCCATTCATGCTTCAAATTAATATTAAATTATTACTGCTGGAAGTTTTTTAAGGGGAAAATAAGAACTTTTAACACAAGAATTCATACGCATTAATGGCTAATTTATCAAAATGGGTGAGCTTTGGTTTACTTTAAAACAGAAACAGACAAAACTTTTAT